TAGAATGACTTCAGACGAACAAAAACACCTATTGACATTTTTCTTTTCAGGCCCTTTTTCTCAAGTAATGGGACCTTAAAGTTGAAATATGCGAAAACTGTCTAATTTTCACATTTTTATTTATAATTCGGGAAATATAACAAGGAAATCAAACTTTGTATACTCATTTTAAGGCTAATGAAATTCTTTAAATAAAGGTAATACAGATATCTTTCATTTTGGAAAAGAAATTATACATGTTAATAATGCATAATACTATGGGTAATAAAGATTAAAAAATTTTGGTTCTGTTTGAAAAATACGTTGTAAGAAAACAGGATTTGCCAATAGGTTAGTAACGTGAAATTATAAGTTAATGACGGTTAACGAAAATCTAGTAAAAAACATTTTGAAAAATTTTGATTTTGCACTGAAACAAAAAAATTATTTGCAACGGCTGACATACAGTAAGAAGCAGAATTTTATTAATTTTAAAATGAGTATAAAAAGTTGAATTAGCCTGTCATATTTCCCGAGTATGAATAAAAATGTAAAAATTAAACGGTTTTTTCATATTTCAACTCTTAGGTCCCATAACTTAAGAATAAGGGCCCAAAAAGAAAAATATCACTAGGTGTTTTTTGTTCATCTGAAGTCATTTTATTACCCTGCATCGGGAACACCATTCAGTCGCAGACACCCTATATACATGTAAATTAGCATAAAGCTATTAATTGCCGGTTGATTGGATTTGACCGTCTTTAAATTATAAAACTTTTGCAAAAGAAGAAAAAAATAATAAAATATGATTTGAATATCTCTGATAAGTACTTAATATACGGTCTATATATAATTAATACTTAATTCAGCTGAAAAGTCATAAATGCTGAATCGTGTATAGTATATTACGTATATATAAAAATATATTATTTATATCTAATATAGAATGGTGCTACTATTTTGAAAAGTCCCGATAGTATTGTGTTTTTTATTTTTTTTTTATTTTGTGATATTTTATAACAATGTATTTCTTTTTATTTTATTAACACACATACACAGGCATAATGCACAAAATATATTTTTGGTTTTCATTATATACATAGTTTTTGCCCCGTTTACTCCCAGTCTTGATCACACAAATCTGCATTTAAAAAAAAAATAGATTAAAATTATATTAGTTTAAAAAGCTTATGAAATAAAAATATTTGCGGAATATTTCAATAAACATGAAATTTTATTCTATAGCTCAAATTTAGTTTTAAAACTGGCACACAATTTTGCAGTTTTTTTTTTAGTTTCCGTATTTTAAATATGAATAAATTCTTAATTTTGTTTATTGGATTTTTACATCTTGACATCAAAATTACAATAATTATACTACGCAATTCAATTAGAATTTTTAAGCTGAATTGTGTATTAATGCTGGTATTGTTGAAATTTTGATGTTAGAGCATTTTTTTAATTTATTTTAAACTATAATTAATATTTTTTTTATGTAACAAATTTATATTAAAAAATTTTTTAAGTTTGAACACGAGAACGATAAAATATTTGCTTTCAGGAATACTTAATGAAAATTTTTTTTTAAACTAAGTTTATGAATATTATTTTGAAATAATTTCTTTTTTGTGTTAGACATACATACAATTTGTTTATATTTATATTTTCTCACATATATTTATAAATTATACAAATTTTTTGATTTTTTAATTAAAGAAAATGCTCGAAAGAAACCATTTTCAAACATAGTTTAAGTTTATATGTACAGATATTAAACTTTAAGGAAAAAAAAATACGTCGTATAGCATTGACATTCAAATTGCATTATAATACTTTTATTAATAATTAATTTAGCTTATAATTGATAATAACTGAGTTTTGCAACACTGTGTCGGTATAAATGGTATTTGAAGATCGGGGTTAGTACATTCTGATCCTTATCTCCTAACTCTATGTAATTTTTTCTCTATGTAATATGAGAGAGAACCTATTTTTTCAATATACGTGTGCTGGAAACGTGTCGTCGTATCGACACAATTCATTCAAATTCGAATACCTATAACTATATATGAGACTTCTAATTAATTATAGAGCAATGAATTTTAATAAAAGTTTTTTTTTTTTTTTTTTGCACAATTCCGTGCTTGAGAAGCCAACCGCAGTCTTGAAGTTATAAGACAGTGACTCGGCAATCCTGCCTAAAATAAAAATTTATAGCTAATATAAGTCTCACAGCCAAAATGTCAGTTATATACTGTTATCTATATATACCTAATTTAGAAATTAGCATTTTTTTAGCTAAATTGTCCTTGACTTCAAAATATTGTCTCACTGTACAATTCAGTAATTGCAATTCATAAACTGAATTGTGTATTGATACCAAATTATGGCAATTTTAAAGCGACGGTTGTGTATTGATATAGTATTACTGTATAATTTAGATTTTAGGGTCTTATTATTATAATTATATAAATCAAAAAAATAAAACTATATACGCGCATATGTCAATGTCACATAGTATTTTTGACATCTAAATTGCGGCAGTACATTATCCCTGACTTCATTTACAATAATGCCATAATATTAATGTACAATTCAGTTTATAAATCATTGCATATTGTATATAACTGCACAATCTCAACTTACAAATAATCCAATTGCTGAATGATTTAGTTACATATTGTCTTTATAGAATAATTAATTACACACGATTCACTAATTATAATTCACAAGTTGAATTGTGTGTATTAATATTGTCGTATACATTTAGATTGGCTACAATTTTGAAATAAGAGATTTGACAATATTAAATGCTCTCAATTTTCGGATATCAAAAATATTTACATGAAATGAATATTTCATACATGAAAATCTGATTCAAATCAAGGATTTTTTAATAAATTATTTAAAGAGTACTAATAAATAATTGTGGTTTTTTGTTATAATTGACAAATATTGTTAGTGTTTCTTCATAAATTAGAATTTTAGTTAAATTATAGTGCTGTCGTTAAAAAAAAAAGTTACAAACACACACGAAAACTTCAAAACTACAATAATATGGTATTAAAACACAATTCAGCAATTACAACTTATAAACTGAATTGTGATCTAATATAATATTGCTGAAATTTTGAAGTTGACCGAACACACACCATTTACAGAAATATATATTTTAAAAATTATATTTTAAAAATTTATTTGCACTTTCTATAATAAGATTATTTAAAAAACCAAAAAGTTTAATTTTAAAATGAAAAAACGTTTAATTCCAACTGAAAATAGTTTATATTTTTTTATCAAAATAGTTTAATTTAATTCAAAAACTGTATTAATCTAGGGCGTAATCGTTTATCTTGCTATTTTATTCGCTAAGTAAGGAGAAAAAAGAAGGTGTATAACTATCATATTCTTCTATAATGCAAATTTTCGAGTGAGAAGAATTTTTCCGTATAGCGTATATCGTTTTTAGCTTAAAAAGTATACAAAATTTTGTTCCCTTTGTTTTTGAAGATGAAAGATGGTTTAGTCGATATTTTGAGAGAAAAAATGCAAAAATTCGATTGAAAAAATGAGCAATCTTGTTGGAAAAATGGAGAATTCTTATTTTAAAAAGTAAAAATCTAAATAAAAAGAAAATTGAAAAAGCGAGATACACGATTAGGCTGTTAAAATAATAAGTGAATTTATTTTTTAATTCAAATATTATTTTTTTTTAAGTTTGATATATAAAATATTTAGATACAAATGGCTTAATGCCATATATATCTGTCAGGCCAACCCAGCTGAAATTATTTTCCGAAATTTTGCAATCGGAAAAAATTACAAGAAAAATCACGAACAAGTTTTTTTGTTTTTGCTTTTCTTTTCAATTTCTTATTTAATAATTTTACTCTTTAATTCAGTACCCTTCCATTTGGAAGACAAGAAAGGTGAGCTGCGTTACAGAATTGCATTTTTACTGACCGCATTGTCTATTAGCACCTTGTCGGTCTGTCGGACCGTCGGTATGTCAGTCTGTGTGTGCACGCGTGTATCTCAAGTTCGACTGAATTGATTTTGATGAAATTTTATATATAAGTTTATTTTGACTATGGCACGGATTGCTTAATTTTTGGGATACATCAAGCCTCTGGAACTGAACTTTTTATCGGGCCTGTTTTACATTTTTGATCATTTTGAAGAAAATATTCAACAGATTTAATTGAAATTTCATTTATTAGCTTCATTCGACCGCACGTCCTAAGTTTCGGGCCAAATTTACATTTTTTCGGGGCTCGGAAACTGATCTAGAGGGCCGATTTTACATTTTTTCCACATATACGGAACGGATTGATGAAATTTCTTGAAATTTAATATTTGAATTCCGATTGTTACCAGACGTTACTGACCAACTTAACGTATAATTCGGACGACACAAAATGAAACTTTCCAAAGAGCAAAATAAAACCCTCCTAAGTTATTCTCTGAGCTTGGTGGCCTGATATATAGATATGACATTGGAATCCATAATATTATATATATATATAAACACTAAAATTTATAATTGATATATTGAATATTCTCATTTATAATTTTATATATATATATATATACTCTTTCTATTAACTCACGTGGTAATACTACTGGAAAAAACAATTTTTAACTCCCATTTAATATTAAAAATTTTAATTTGCATGCAATATACATATATATATACATATATATATATATATATATATATATATATATATATATACTTATATATATATACATTTTATTATTTTATAAATATACATGTTAACAATAATTTTTAATAAAATTAACAAAAATAAACTTAAAATATATATACATATACACATATATTATATATAAAAACATAAAAAAACATACATTTGATTGCGATATAAAATTATAATATTAAAAAATTAAATTTAAAACTATTTACACAAAATTATTTTAATAAACATTTTTCAAAAATTATATAAAAAAAAAATAAAAGAAAACCAATAACAATTATTTAATTTATAAATAAAAATAAACAGTCCTGGATTACCCGCCGTATTAACATCGGTTGTGCCTGGTAATGGAGGTGGTGTTACCGCTGGTATTGGTAGTATTGGTGGTTTAACTGGTTCCGGTGGTATTATTGGTGGTTGTGCTACCGGTTCTATACATCTACCAAATTCATCATCGTCTTCGTCATCATCAACATCATCGACAAATCATTTACAAAATTTAGGGGGAGGTGGTGGTGGTGGCGGTAGTAGTGGTGGTGGTAGTGGTCTTGGTTCAAATACAAATCCCGCTACTGGAGCAGGTGGTGGTGGCGGTGGAAGTGGAAGTAGTGGCGGTGGTGGTGGGGGTGGTGGTTTAAATTCTCAACAAAATCAAGGATCTAATTTACCTCAACAACCATCACCACAGACGCCAACATATGTGAATTTGTAAATAATCCAAAAAAAAAAAATAAGAAAAAATAAACAAAAATCAATACAAATTTTTAATTAAAAGAGAAAAAAATAAAAAAAAAAAACAAAATAATACAAAAAAGAAAAAAAGTAATTTTAAAATTATTTTTAAAATTATTCAAAAAAATTCATATATATATATATATATAAATCAGGCATGTCAAACATGCGGATTTTTGTTCGAAAATTGTGAAATTTAATTCTTATAATTTTGTTACAAATATTGATTTCGATCAGTAAGAAAGAGTTGAAACCAGAGTAAATGTTCTACGGGGGTGTGTCAAAACTTATTCATATGCGAAAAATACACAGCTTTGGAAAGTGGAAAGCGACTGTTTTATAAATCAAATACTTATATATTTGAACCAGTTTAACTTTTTATACTTGTAAACCGTACCAATTAAGTAAATTCGAAATTTTCAGAATATTCTAACTAGAACAAATTATTAAAAACCGAATTTGAAAGAAAATTTTTAGAAGATGTCAAAATTAATTTAACCTATTTACTTTTCCATTTTCTGTCCATACGAGTATTAAAACACGTGATTCAAATTTACAATTTAAATCGAAATGCTGTGCGATTGTGTATTAAAACAAAAATTACTAAATTTTATAATCATTTACCTATGAATCAAATAAGAACAATTCTTTTCGATATTAAAAAATAATAAAACGGCTGAAAGATCAAGGTTAACAGGTAAACATGTCCAATCAATATAAAAAATATTAAAAATTACAACTGCGAGTTAAATTCAACCAAATTTCGAAGATTGAATAACAGAAAAACGTCGCTAAATTTCTTTAAAAAACTGATCTTATATTTTTTGCTATGACTGTGTATTATTTGTATATGTTTTATGTTCATGATAAAAATCAAAATTTGAGTATGATTTAGTAATTTAAATTTTTTTATTGTGCGGCCCGAAGCAATGTGCGGAGCCCTAAAAAGGGCCCGTGAAGATAAATGAGTTTGAGATGCCTGATATAAATAAATAAATATTATATATATAATATAATATAAGATTATTATATGCATATGTACATGTATATATGTCATTTATATAAGAGCTGTGCTGTCAAACAGATTAGCCCAAATATCCTAATTTTTTTTAAAATAATTCATTTTAAAGATTTGATATAAAAAAAAATTTTTCACGAAGGATTCGAGATCTTTAATTGAAGTTTAATTGAACGATGTAGAAAGCCAAAATATTACAATTTCAATTCGAATTTAATCAAAAATAAAAAAGAAAACCTAATGACATGCAAAATTATATATGATGCCATAAACCGTATGTGCATTTAATTAGTGCGCCAAGTAGATGGTAGAATTAATGTAGAACTAATTACAGCGAAGAAGATCAAAAATTTTCTGCCATGGAAGTGGCGTTAACATGCGTTGTCTATTAAATTTACTTTTTGGTCAAAAATTTTTTTGTGAACTTTAGAAAATATGGAGAAAGGCGTAAAAAATTTCAATTCTTCAATAGTATCAAAAAAACCTTAATTTTAAAGATATTTTTGTATACAAAATTTAAAAAATTTTACAAATCTTATTTTAAAGTTTTGCACAAAAAATATTACCAAAAAACCTTCATTTTGAAAATAAGTATTCACTTTTGGCAGTGCTATATATAAAATAAAACTTTTGGAAAAAAAGAATCTTTCAGAAAAAACGGCGAGTAAAATTATATTTTACTCTCACTCTTCTCACCCTGACATTTGAATTGCATTAATATTGATGGCATTGCATACAATCATGGAGGTTATGTGATCGCACCAAAATTCGCATATGGTTTTTTTTTATGGTGGATACGTAACGTACTCCTTCACACTAAGGAAGCGTAAAATAAATAATTCTTTTTTGCTACTATTCGGTATACTAAAAACCGATTTTTTGATCTTTATTTTTTAGAACTATTAGAAATGAAATTATAAAAGAACGCAATTGCGTTTTATCGAAAACGTGTTGTAGAAATGATGCGTGTATATTATACGAACGGGGAATCATAATATGGATATTGGGAGAACCCAGTTGAAGTTGAGGGCATTTATAAAATACGTCTACATATGCCAAATAATATTTATATTTATATATAATTAATATTTACATATGATACATATAATAAATATATGTATATATATACATATATAATATATATATATATATATATATATATATATATATATACATATATATTCATACATACACTACATCAAAAAATTCCACATACAGCGTTTTTTTAACAAAATTTAATTTTTGTTAGTACAAAGGTATTTTTTTAATTTCAATTTTAAATAATAATTAGGAAAATTTAATATTTATTCAAAATCAAGTTGAAAAAAATTACAGTATTTTTAAATTTAGGAAACCTAATAAAAACGTAGTCAAATATTGTATATACACAAAAAAATTGTACACACAGATGCAAAGCATAACAAAAATTGTAGAACTGTTGATTTCAGAAGCCAGAGTAGGTGACGAAAAAGTTGATGTGTTACCTAACATTCAAAAATGCACCGATATTTTCCAAAAATTTGTGAATTTTAATAGGTATACTCGTAGTATCTAGTATTTATTATATTCAATTTTCCAAAATTTCCCTTCAAAAAATGTCCCAAAGTTCGCCTAGATTTTAAGAAATTTATCGGAAACCTGAAGGAGCAAGGAAAGACTATACTGAAATTGCGTGTATATAAATAATATACAAAAATATACTTTCTGAGCTTGCAAAACAGAAAATTGAAAGAATTGTAGAAATTAATTCAAAAAATGACCCTAAAATATAGCTTTCTCAGAAAATGACTTTAATTTTTTAGTAAATCCTAAAGCTGTACGAAATTTTCTACATAGTAAAGGATTCAAAGTGCGACTGTCACTCAAGAAGCCTTTACTATCAAAACTAAATGTAGGAAAACGTTTAAAATATGCCAAATAAATTGTTTCAAAGTCTAATTCTTTTTGGGAATCGTTTATACGAGTACATATTTATTGAAAATTCTATATTAATTTAATGTTTTTGGGTTTGTGTGGTCGATAATTTGTTCGGCGTAAAGTAAACACTATTACGTTAACATAACGTAACAAGAATTTAACTCCCATGATCAAGCATTGCATTTCGGTGCAAATGTTATTGGGGACTTAGAATTTAATTATTCAAATATATATATGGGAATGGGAAAGCAACAACTGATTTCAAACAACGTTGAAATCAGTTTTTTCACTACCCGCCACAATCCCAAGCGTAATTGAATCTAATTAAGAATATTTTGGATATGTTTGATAAGCGTTTAAGACAACATTTAATTACTTGATATTACCAATCTAAAACGAAAAATAATAAAAGAATGGATAAAAATTTTTCACTTGAAGGAACAAAAAAGTTAGTAGTCCATTTTCCATGATGGTCAATCGGTTAACAGGAGTAATTAAAAGTAAGAGAAAACATATTTCATATTTAATTTGTTTTAAGTTTTTAAATATTTAATTTAAATGCAACTTTTTAGTATATGCACAATTGTTTAATTACGTTTTCATTAAGTTACGCAAAAAAATATTATAATTATTTTGAACTTGATTTGGAATATATGTTAAGTTTTACCTATTTATTATACAAAAATGGAATTAAAAATATGTCGCCTTTGTATTAAAAACAAATTCAATTTTACTAAAAAAAATTATGTTGTATGTGCAATTTATCGATGTTGTGCATATGTTATACATTTATATTAATTTAAAACAGAAATATGCAGTATTTATCAAATTAATGATAATATTAAAAAAAAAAAAAAAAAGAAAAAAAACTATATTTACATAATGTAAACGTATATGTATATAAATATATGTATATATTATATACATGAATATAATAAGAAAAAACACAAACAATAAATAATTTGAAAAATTAAAATAATTAGTTAAAAAAGAAAAATATAGTGATTATATACCTAATAAAAAAACAAAAAGAAAAATTAAACAAACATAGAATAAAAAAATTAACAAAAAAAAAATAAATATGTTCTGTTATACAAAAATTATTACATTTTTGTGTAATACAATACAATATACAAAAAAAAAATAATTAAATATATTTTAAAAATACAATAAAACATAATAAATAAACAAAACAAAAATGAACTCGAATTAAAATAAAAATTAATGTGTGTGTTTAATACAACATTAAGGAAAACAGAAATAAAGAACTAAACAGAAGCACACAAATCATTAGAATTTTCTATTTTTTCTTGTTTCTTGCTCAAAATATTTTTATTAATGGAAACAAAAAACACAATGAACCAAATCTTAAGCAGTATAACCAAAAAAAATTAATTTTTTATTATATATATATATATATATATATTATATATATACATACATACAAATATAACATAATAAATTAGTTAAAAATATAATGAAATTAGAGTTAAAAATTAAATAAAAGAAAATATTACATCAACTTTACAATCAACACACAAGAAATTTACATATAATACATACATGTGTACATATATACAAAATATAATCGTTAAATACACTTATATTATATATTTATAATATAAGTGTATATAAATTATATAATAATGTTATATTTAAAAAAAAAAAAAAAACAAATAAAAAAAACAAACTTGTTTTTTAAAAATAATTTTTCATGTATTTTTAATATTGAAATTAACAATGTGCAGCAGAATAATGCGAAAAAAAATTCATTTTCGAAATCAAAATTTTATTTTCTAATTTTTTTCATTTCCTATTAAATGAAACCGAAAAAAAAAAATTATTGTAAATTAAAAGAAACTTACACAATGTGTGAGACTATAGAGAGATGAACTTCATATATCAAGGAAGTTCTTTAAAAAAAATATAAATAACAATTAAATTAATAAAATGTTTTTTTTATAACAAAAATTTTTTTGTTGAATGTGTGTTTTTCGAAAAATTCATCTACACTCATTTATTAGTTTTCGTTTTTTTTTTTTTGATTATTTAACTGTTACGCCGAAATTTATAATGAATTTGTTTTTAAAAATAAATAAAAAAAAAATTTTCGAAAAATTTGAAATTAATAATTTCATGTCCTATATATATATAATAATTTCTCTCTGAAAAATATATAAATATTTTGTGTAATAATTACAATATAAATCAATAATCGAAATACATAACAAAAAAAAACATTTATTTTGAAAACTTTGACTTTTCGATTCAAATTTTATTGAGGTTTGACTTTAACGGTACGGTATAACAATAAATTGTGTTTTATAAATTAATGTACAAAAGTACATTAAGTATGTTTTAATTTTCGGTGTTTATATTGACTTTTCGTTTTATATTCCTTTGTTGTATAATTTATTATTTTAAAAAAGAAAGATTTTTGAAAAGAACTTAGAAATAATTGTGAAAAACCAAATTAGATAATAGAAAATCAGAATTTTTGAAAACTGAAAACAAAAAAATAATTAAAAACTATATTTATAATTTTCTGAAAAATAACCAATATAACATAGAAAAACAACTTTATAACCAAAACAAATTAATTTAAAAAAAAAAAACAAAAAACAAACAAACAAAATCAATAAGTGATAATTGAGAAAAATATTTAACAAAAAACAGATTTAATAACAAAAAATTATTAATATTATAATAAAAAAAAGTGTAATTTTTACAGAAGCAAAAAAATTACAGATTATATAAAAAAACGATATACCAGTCACAAAAAAAAAAACAATATTCAAAAATTTAATATTATTTTTTATACAAAAATAGAAAATTAATTTAATTTATTGAAGAAAAAAAAAAATGTTTTAATTAATTTTAACATAAAATTTTCTTTTGAATTTTATAATTTCATAAAAAAAAAATGATTATTTGTGTATGTATAACAAGATCGGTAATAATAAACATTACAGTAATAACAAACAAAAAATATAATATAATTATTATTATTAACAATAAATTTAAAATAAATAAATAGATGAATAGTAAAAATATACAATATAAATCAAATATAATAAACTGTTGTGGAGAAAATATATATAAATATATATATATATATGTGTGTTTTGTATAACAACTACTGTACAAATATAACAAAACAAAAAACAGTAAATAAAAACCTATAAATAATAAAAATATGCAACAAAAACTGGCATATTATTGAAAAACTGATACATAATTTTATAATTACAAAAATTTATAGAAAATATTCTACCTATATGTGATTATAAAAAATTATAAATAATATTTGAATTAATAATATATTAAATATATATGCTATAATATAATAAATATTATAATAAAACGAAATATCAAAAAAACAAATATATTGTCAAACTAAAATAATTTCAACTATATAGTTAATAAAAAATTACATAATATTTTAAATATTTCATATATAGAGGTATAAATGTCAAAATAATTTATGTGAAAAATTAAATATATATCCAAAAAAAAAAAAAATCAAAATATCAATAATTTTATTAATTAAATCTTATAATTATAAAATTTGTAGATAATAAACGTGTAAAACGTTGATGAATTTTAATAAAACTTTATAAAAAACAACCCCATATGAATATTATACTCGTATTGTATAACTAACATTCTTTTTAATTCACAAAAATATAATTCACTTAAAAATAGTTCAAATTAATGACTAAAACAAAAATATATCTTGGGGGAGATTGATTGATGATGACATGTTGTCGCCGACAATAGCTGGACAAACCTTAAAAAATTTAACAAAAATTACATACACTCTTATAACGAGCTAAAATTTAATTCAGCCGCAATCATTTGTATAGAACTATATATAGTATATTAAAACCAAAACTAAAATGTAGTGTGTGATTAAATTATTGATTAATATTATTGATTTAAATTATATAACATATTTATACAATATTACGTTACATATATATTTATGTATATATATATAATATTGTGTAAAATCAAAAAAAAATCAAGTGAAACCAAAAACACAAAAAAAAAATAAAGCGGAAATTCAGGAAAATGTGTAGGATCAGGAAATAAGTAGTATGATATTAAAATAAATTTTTTTTTTAATTATAATATATAAAATATGTTACATTTAAATTAATTTACATGAATATTATACAATTATGAATCATATAACAATTGTTAAGTAAAACTTAATAATCATGTAGTTTTTGATACTATGCGGTTCTTCCAAAATTTCAATAGTTACTCCTAAATATATATGATTTCAAAAAATTACGCGGTAACACTGTATTCCTCTACAATTCAGCAATTCACACTTATAAGCTGAATTGTGTAATAATACCGTATTACTGAAATTTGGAAGTCAATGTATATTACTACCATCGGTGTACTGAAGTAATTTTAGAATCCGGAAATTTTCTCTGAAAATTTTGTGAAATTAAAAAAAAAAAAATTCATGTAAATTTCTAAATCGTATTTTTTTTTTTATTTTAGATGTTAAGTAATTTTTTTATTTAATCCGTAGATAACAAATATGTATTTTAAATTTAATATTTATGCTTAATTTTAAATGTATGAGATTTTTAATTTTATATATGTTTATATAAAACATTATGATGTTTTTTTTTTGTATTAAATAGAAATTCTTTTGTTTTCTTTTTCTCACCTTCGATTTTTTTATAAAAAATATTTAATGAATTCAAAAAAAAAAAAAATAAGTGTTTTGCTTGTGTTCCGATACGTTAAAATTTTTAACTAATATTTTTTGTCATTTTTTTTTCAACCCCTAACTTATTTTTATAGCTTAATTTCCAGAACAAACTGACAAAATTGCATTAATGAGTATTGATACACTACAAATTTAGTTTTTGGGCTTTAAAAGCTGAATTGATGTAGCGTACTATGTTTTGTTCAGCATTGTACAGCAGTCTTGATGTTATAGAAGTATTTCAATAATTATAATCCATGCACTTAATTGTATGTGTATTAAATATCGTATTAGTACAATTTTAAAGTTTGATGTTATAAAAACATGAATACGTACATATATAAGATTTGAATAAGCAAATTATACAATATGTCCTCAATATCTCTCCAAAATATTGCAGTTCTTTTATTTTATAATGTTTTTTAATGTATATAAAAATTTCAATATAATATAAAGAAAAGACCATTGATATATGCTATGGTAGATGATTTTTTAAGAATATATATGTACATTTACATTACCCTTAACATATATACAAAAAGTCTGTTAAACCCTATGTATAACTTAAAAATTGCTTTAATTCTATGTTAGTACACAATTCAGCTTATAAATCTTAATAACTGAATTTTGTAAAAATATCCTATTATTGCAATTTTAAAGTCATAGAAAATAACTAATTGTTGATTTATATTAAGAATATGAGAAATGTGTTTTTTATTATTGAATTTTCGAATGATATTTTTGTGTTCCTTAAATTTTTACGTTTTTGTTGTCTTTTGTTTTTAGAAAATTGCTAACATTGAAATTTTTAAATTTATTTTCCAACATATTTTAACATATAAAAAAAAATTTCTTTGCTTTTACAAAAAAAAAAAAAAAAAATATGGTCAAATCAAAAATTCAATGCTACGATTCTGATACAGAATTAAATATCCCTGACTTAAAAAATACAAAAACTGTCTTGTTACACAATTTAGCAATTGCAATTCATAAAATGAATTGTATACTAAAACTGTATTGCAGCAATTTTGAAGTCAAGACCTATCTATAAAAGAATATGCTAAATATCGTTATTCAAAATTAAGTTATTGTAAGTAGAATTTTAACTCGATAAGTGTAAAATTCAGCCTACATATATACCTCTAGTATATCGTAAGGTAAGCACAACACAGAATTTTTGGTTTCATAGTATATTTAAATTTAAAACATTTAAAAATTAAAGCATGTTCTTTTGTTTTCTCTATATATGTATAAGCTTAAAAAAAAAAGATCGGCTCTTGCAATCTAAATTTTAACGTTAATCTACATGTATGTATATTGTGTTATCTTTATTGTCCCAGGTTAATATAACAATTTTAACTATGGCAATATTTAAGTGTTTTTTTGAAATTATTTGCATATTTAATGTGTTAACAATTATTTTCTTATTCCATAATTTTTTTTTCAATAAAGAATTTACCTTTAGCTTTTAAAAACCTTTATTACATAAAATACTTAATTAATATTTGTGCATAAACTGTAACTGTGTATCAATACCGTATTACTAAGGCATAACACACAATTACCGTAAGTATTATCTTAGTAATACGGTATTAATACACAATTACAGCTTATGAATTGTAATTGCTGAATTACTAATTAAATATAATACACGGTATTGCTGACATTTTGAATATTGCAGGAAATTTTTTACTTAATAAAAATTAAAAAAACAAAAACAAACTTAATTTTTTACGAATTCAACTAATTTTTCATGAATTACCCTGACATCCAAACATTTAATACATAATTCAGCAGCGTAATTATTCTTATTGTTATTACAATTTCGGATGTAAGTGTTACTGTTTGTGAATTCAGTTAATAACAGTGATTCTTAACATCTCATGTATTATAATATATTACAGCTTAAATTCAAAATTGTAATAATTACGGTATTAATACACAATTTGGTTTATAAGTTATAATTGCTGAATTGTATATTAAGATAATATTATTGTAATTTTGAAGTCATATATATATATATATATATGTGATAAAATTATATATATTATGTTATAAATTATTATAATTTATTTTATTTTACAATTGAATTTAAAATTTCTGAATAACAGCAAATTAATAAATAATTAATAATTTGCAAATTTATTATGTGTACTCGTATATTTGGCTTTATTTTAAATTTTTCTTAATAATAATTATTTAATAGCAAAATGTTATAAATATATAGAAGATTGATGTTTCTGGTAAATGTTTTTTCGTTTTCGTTAACAAAAAAGAAATTTATTTTATATTTTTTAATAATTTTTGTGTTATTTTTAACTAACTTAGTACGTTTTTATTATTTTTTTAAATTGTTGTTAAATTATTTTGTAATATCATGCAATTTTTCCCTTAATCCACCATTTAAATATATCAATAACAAACACATATCAATAGCAAATACATACTCGTATTTCTGCAGAAGAATAGCAGAAACAGAATAAACAGAATATGGACCATTCAGCCTGCATTCATAAGCTGAATCGTGTTTTAATATTATAATTTTACTGCATTTTTTAAATTTACGATGTATACGGAGTAGACCAAGAACTGTGACTGCTTATAAAGCCCTTTCTCTTATTTCTCTCAAAGTTTTTGAAGACTACTTTCCAAATAGCAAAAATGTTAAATTTCTTATTCAATAAATGTGCATTTGCAGATTTTATATATGTATATAATCAGCATATTATATATAATCAGTAAACATACATTTTCTTTTCGTTATGGAATAGCAATATTAATATTTTTGTTATTCGGAAAATAATTTCCGAAAACTGTGAGATATATATATATATATATATATATATATATATTTGATTTTTTTTTTGTATTTGTTTTTATTTATTGTTTTTATTTATTAGTGTTTTTATTTATTACTGAAAAATTTTAATTATATTTTATTATAAAAAACCAATAATAGTCAATTGATACCAAACTGCAATAACTGTATATTATATATATATATATTATGTATACCTGATTTCAAGATTACTGTTATATACTTTGTATTTAATACATAATTCGGTTTGAAGAATACATAATTACTAAATTGTGTGTGAAATACCGAGTTTATTACGAGTATAACAATTTTGATATCAAGTTTATTTCAATAAAATTTTAAAATCAAATTTCATATTAATTGAATTTTATGTTTTACTCTAATCAACAATTATTAGATAGGGCCAATATATTAGGTAGATACATACATCTTTATATATATTACACTTGTTGCAGTTTCGATATCAATACGAATATTTTTTTCCCCTTAATATATATTTTATGTGTTTCCGTTTAACGTATATTTTAACAGAATATAATATTTATATTAAAGTGGTAACCAAAATGAACACGTTGGGACGTATACATTAAAAATACCAATATGCAAAGAAACAAAATGTGTTCAATCAAAATTAACGCGCCGCCATTAGAAGGGTAATAGATAAGTTCATTAAGTTTTTAATATGTTTTTTGGTGAAGAGTTAACAAGAGATGTCAATCAATACGATTTCATTCGTATATAATGAAATGTATATTATCTGACAATGTTTAAATTCTAAACAATACAGACGAGTTTATTTTGATTTTGTAGTCAAAATTATAAAAACAATATGTAAAAACTTTATAGTTTTTGAAAAGTTTTAAGCGTGCTCTCTTGACATGTTCATTTTTGGGTAGCACTAAACGATTTTGATATATAATAAATGTGTTTTGATATAATAATTATGATATTATGAGTGATTGAATGTTGTTGAAGTGAAGCATGTTGTTTTGAATTCGTGTAATGTATTTTGAGATCGGAATTGTAATAATACTATATTAATTCAGAATTCAGGCTATAAATACTAATTTCTGAATTGTGGTATAGATACGGTAGCTTTACAATTCCGATGTCGATGAAAAGCAATAATGCTTTTCGAATGGACTTTAATTTTATAACAAAAGATATTTTTTTTCGTTAATAATATTTCTTAATTCGTTTATAATCCTTTTTTAGTACATTAATTACTTCAAATCCTTTATAAATTAAAAATAAAATAAAATATTAACTAAAACAATTTTTTTTTATTTTATTTTGTTTTTTTTTTTCAATATAACAACTTTAACAAAACTCTGTTATATTTCATAAATGATATGGGATGTTTTGATTTTTTTACATAATAATAAAAATTTGGAAAATACAATATTAGACGAAAAAAGAAATGTATTCGTTATATGGAAGAAATTCAACAAAATAAAAAGGAAGAAAATGATTTCAACGTTGAAGAGGAGAGGCACAGTACTACTGGTGGTGATGGTGGTGGTGGTAGTGAAGATTTAACTGAAAAATGCGATGAAACTATTAAAGATGAAGTAATTATAATAATATTAATAATTGTAGAAATCAGGCTGCTAATATAAATTTTAATAATAATAAAAATAATAATAATAATAACAATAATAATAATAATAACAATAATAATAATAACAATAATAGTAATTCAAAAAATTATGATAATAATAATACAAAATAATAATATTAATTTAGATAATTTTTTAAATATGATTGATAAAAATCTAACAATTTTAAAGCTATCATCGTTATTATCATCATCACCAGCATCACCATCATCAAAAAGAAATACATCAAAATCGTTACAAAGAATAAATAATATTTTATCATTATTAAATCAACAACCATCATTTAATTTTAAAAGAGCTACCACATCAAATATAAATACACCAATATCAAGTAATCAAGAACGTAGTAATAACAAAAAGAAGAATAATAATAATATTAATAATAATTGTAATAATAATAATAATAATAGCAATAATAACAATAATAATAATAAAAATAATAATAATAAAAATCATAGTATAACATCATTAATAGTGAGAACTGCAAACATTAGCAAACAATTAGAAGAAGTTATTGAAGAACTATTAGCAGGAAATACTGAATCAACAAAATTCAACGAAAATTCATGCAACTCAAACAATATGTATAAAAAATGCAAGTATTATAATAGATTATTTTTTACGTTTTGTTATATAACCATATTTTAAAATAAAATTTTATAACTAAAATAATTTAATCAAAAAAAAAAAATCATATTGTTTTAATTTTTAGCTAACTTGCAACAACAATTACAAAAACAATGTGAATCAGAAGAAAACGTACCAAATAATATCTATAATGAATTTCAAGATAATAGAAACAAATCTAATAAAATTTAATCAAATGCCTAATAATAATATACAATCTGAATTGTGTGATTTAAGACAAAAAGATATTATTATGGAATTAGGTAATTCAATCTTTGACTTTTAAATTGCAATAAAAAAAATTATAAAACAATTCAGCAATTAGAACTCATAAGTTGAATTTAATTTACAATTACCAGTACTACTGTAATTTTGAAGTTAATGAAATAAAATAGTCGAACCTTCATAACAAAGAATCATCATTTTGCAAACATAGTTGGTTCGTGTTGCAAAGAGAGGGAGAGAGTTCGCGTAACGGGAAATATGAAAATAAACGAGAATATGAAAATAAATTTGATGCAAATTTTTTGTTTTTTAAACAGTTGTTATAAACAACTTAAAACGCAACTGGATGGTCATAAACTCCTAAAACAAATCAAACTGACTAGCCATTAGTTTTGCTCTGCTTTTGTGTCTATATTCTCTGAAGGAAGCCACGGAAGTGCTGTCACAGCACTTTAGGCCGATTCAAGAGGTCTCGTTTGCTTCAGTCTTTTTTTTCAAAATCACTTCCCTATAAGCCAAGGGGCCTCGCATTTACGTGCTGTTCCAAAAACGCCATATGTTTCATGGCACAGTTTCTTATTTCACTTACATGAGGGGACACTCAGATCCCAATGAATCTCACTATTACGCACGTATCAGGATGCTTCCATTACGAAGGACCTTGTTTTGGAAAGTTTGTAATTATTTGATGTGAGTTTGCTTGGCACAAAACCATAGCTGCAAACCATACGTCCATATAAGCTTTATCATTTGGTTATATATCAACAGCTTATTGTATGTTGACAATATAGACCTACGACCTAGGAGCCAATAGTTTTCTCTATATTTGTTTTCTAATCTATTTTTCTTCTTCTTTGCATCTGAGCTTGACATTCCAAGTCTTACCTAGGTATTTCGCTATGTTTTGGATTGATACTCGTAGTTTAGCACCATTCAAACTCAATTGTGGTGAATTTACTCAATTCTTGTTTGTGAATTTTTCATTTATTTCTCCATTTACTTATATTGTTACTAGCTTCCCGTAATTTTTTGTCAATTCTTCAACATTAGATCCCACTGCCAATATTGCTGTATCGTTGTCAAATGTAGCCAAACTTATACCCTCTAAATCTGGAAAATTTGAAAAACTACCTTAACGCACACCAATCCTAATTTCCCCAAGCATAAAATATTGCTCGTCCTGTTTGATTCGGAAAAGCCTGTTAGATAAATACGACTCAAATAACTCCACGAATCGCAAACGTATGGATTTCTCAAGTTTAAATAATAAACCGTAGTGTCAAACTTTATCGAGCGCCTAAACCACGTCCAGAAATATTGTCGAATGTATTTTCCTTTCTTCAAATGCCTTTTCCACAATATTTGTTATTCTGTATACCAAGTAAATTGCTACAAGCTTTGTTCTAAAACCAATCTGATGGTTTGGAATCAATTTCTTATTTTCTTTTATCAGCATCAGCCTTGTTAACAACAGTTTTTCAAAAAGTTTTGATATCATTGGTAGCAGAGAAATTGGTCTACATGACTTTGCCTCATTCAAGGGCTTCCCAAGTTTTCCTATTAGAATAGCTTCGCTACTTTCCAAGCACTAGGAACATACCTCAGGTTAATTGCCGCATTTATAATTTTTTTCAAAAATATCATAGCCTTTCTTAGCAATTCTCTTAATATTTCAGCAATAATGAGATCAAAACCTGGAGCCTTATTCGGTTTAAGCGACTTTATCGCTTGGTAAATTTCTTTTTCATTAAAAAAAGCCATAGTGTTTTCACCCATATCAAAATCTTCTATTAAACAAACACTAGAATTCAGTTCATTTGGTTGAAAAATTCCTTCCAAATGATCAGCAAATACTTCAGCTTTATCCCTGTTGCTTTTTGCCCATGATCCATTTGCTTTTTTCAATGGGGGAATTCGCTTTATCGGTTTCTTGGTACTCTTCCTTGCTTTCAACAACGAATAATTCGTTTCTTTAGTTAGCGCTAAGCCCTTTATATAATTTGATGCAAAATCACATGAAATATGTTCGTGTTTAAGAAAAATCTTATTTTAATTAGAGAGTGTTATGCAGACTCTATAAATAAGAGTGTAGCAAAAATGTTCGCAAGAAATTTGTTATTATATATTAATATTTTTAATATTGTATTTATTTTACTATATGTTTTTTTTTGTTTATTTTACATGTGTATATATATTTTCTCTATTTATATATGTATACGTATATATGTAGGAAATGATGCGAAAATTGATAACAATCAACATAGTGATTTGAATGTCGCCAAAAAATAAACAAAGTGAAGAGATGGTATTAAAAGAAGAAAGGAAAATTATATCAAAATTTTTGACAGAATATAAAACATAAGTTGCGCCAATATTAACGTCTTCTCCTGCCTCTTCTTCTGCTTCTTCTTCTTCATTATCATCGACATCATCATTAGCATTGAAACAATTATTGTCATCATCATCACTATCAGCATCATCACCACTATGAACTATATTACCATCAACTTCAACTGCAACTGGGATTATTAATACAAAAAATTTATGTTATCATAATTTATCTCTTCAAAATCAGCAAAAGCATCAGCAACAATAACTGAAACACATAAACATCTAGCATTAAGAAAATCATAAATAGAAATAAAAAGTAACAAAAAAAAATGAAGAAGATGATAAACAAGATGAAAATGATAAAACAATTATAGTTAATGCAATAAATGTTAGTATATCATCAACATTAAATAATAATTGGAATAATAATCAATTAATTTGTTTCTTCAACATCATTGTCAACATCATCATCTTCATCTTTATCATCATTATCATCATCAACATCATCATCATCATCATCATCATCATCAACATCATCATCGTCATCATCGTCATCATCATCATAATCACCATCATCATCATTATCATCATTAACATCATCATCATCATCATCATTATCATCATCAATATCTCTATCATCATTATTGTTTTCAATATTTGTACCAATTAAATTATCTACAAATATTACTCATAAAAAATCAGTCTATCATATAAAAATACAGTATAAAATCTCCATCATAAAATAATAAAAGAAATAAATTAATTTTAGATGAAAAATCAATATTAATTCCTCCTCCTTCATCATTGATGGGAGTTAGACCAGCTATAACCGTAACAACTACATCACAAAAAACAACAGCAAGTGAAAATACAACAATGTTGTCTTCAACATCAATTGTTGAATAATAGATGATACATACAATTCAAAAAAATAAAAAATAAAATAAAAAACCATGAAAAAAATGAAACAATAGAAAATTCATTTTTATATAAAAATCTTAAATTGATAATGTTATATAATGTTAAATTTCAAAATACAAAGATGAAAGTAAAGTCAATGTGCTAATATATGTACCTTCATATTCAAATATCAATTAACACCATGATTTCAAATTTCAGGAGCATACTATTTTATATTACGTATGTATATTTATTATATTATATAATATAATATTGCATAATTTACCTAGTTGCATTTATGAACTGAATTGTACAATTAAAACACTGTAGTACATTGTGCATAGATATTTTTATATACATATAGTGCGTATATATATGTATGTATAGTATTATTTAACTTAACGAGACAAATTATTTTATAAATAATATTCAAAAGATTAATTTTCTTATATAAAAACAAAAGAGATTATTATCTTGAAAAATGAATGTCAGTAAAATTACGATAGTTTATATAATTAATATTAAAAAATTATTATTGTAACTATTATTACCATTATATTTATTATTATTATTATAAAAGAGAAATAATTTCATACAAAATAATTTATGTCCCTGTACACATGTCATTGCTTCAATAGTTAAAGTAAATCTCTGTTTTTTTTTTTAATTGTTGCACCCATAAAACCAAATTACAAAAATACTTCATTACAATACCCAATTCAATTTATAAGTCAAAAATTTATCAACTGTATTTTGAATATAAAATTGCAGATATGTATGTATCTGGTGTTCACCATAATACAATTCCAGTTTCAACTTGGCTTATAATAATTTTCATAGCTAAATAAGTCACATTGATATTAGATTTTAATTTTTATAAACATCCTTTAATAAAATATTGAATTATTGTAACATAAGCGGCAGAACATGAGATTATTGATTTGACATTTTTTTTCGTCTTTTTTTAAATAAAATATATATGTATAATGAGAATAAATGCGCTAGATTTAAAAATATATGAAAAATATATATGTTAAAATTAATATAAAATTATAGAAAAAATATCATAATTAATATTACACAAAATAACACATACGAAAAATGTAATATATTTCATATTTATCTCCACACTATAATAATTTACATATAATCAATTAATAAGAAATACACAAATATATTAGGTCAGAAGGCAAAGCTTCTTATTAAGTTGAAAAATTAAATTTTTAGCAAGATGATTTTATATTAGACATTTTTTATTTTTTATCTAAGGATATTTCTGAAAATATAGTTAAAATTAGAACTAGAAAACTTTAAAGCCATAATAATAATTTGTAAATAAAGCTCTGAAAATTTACAGTTCTAACCTTAAGTGTTTCTTCTTCAAAAACCTCTTCTGTTTGATATTTTAATTCAGCATTTTTGTTTTTTTTAATTCACTGCAAAATTAGAATTCTCACCTTTTTTTTAATACATTCTTTTTTCAAAATATCGGCTGACATTTTCAAAAGTACGATTGTATGAAAAATGGCAGAAGCGAAAAAAATTTTAATTCAAAATTTGATGCTCTAAAAATAAACATCTATAAATATATATATATATATGTATAACATTTAATGCTCTATAAATAAACAGTTAGTAATATTTTTTCATTCATAATTTTTAAGTTTGAAATTATGTACATAATATGTAAAAATTCCAATAAATTTTTATATGAAACAATGCAACCTTGGCTTCCAGACTGAAGTAATACAAATAATTCACCTTGTCAGTTGTAATTACTGAATTATGTCTTAACATTGTATTGCTCTGAATTTCGGAATCCAAGGTAAATTTCAAAATTACCAAAACTTTTATTCAAAATTTATTGTCTTCATTAATATATTAACAGTGGTAGTAAAAAATAATAAAATTAAACAATCTTATAGTGCCAAAATATATATATATAATAAATGACAAAAAAAAAAACACATATAAAAAAATTGAAATTGTTTCTAAATTTTCAAAAAAAAAATATCATACTCTCATTAATTGTGTTTTGTAAAACTAAATCCACCGAAATAATATAAAAGAAAAAAAATTTTCTTTTTTACCATCACCATCAAATGGTTGGTTTATTCTATTTTTTTAAGATATATTATATTTAAACTTAATATTTTTATATTTATACATCCACTTATAGCAAAAACAAAAAGAATTCTATTTTTTCATCAATTTTGTTTTAATGAAAATGAATAATATAAAAAAAAATTCAAGTATTATAAATTAATTAGAATTTATTTAAAAAATTCAAAACTGCTGCACAATTTATCATAATCTCCAAAGAGAATTACATTTTTTAATAAGAATGTTATACTCGTACTATTAAAATATTTTAATATTATTTCAGTAAAAGTATAAGTGAAATTGTAAATGTTGGTTTTGAAAATGAATAATTTTTCAATTAAAATTAATTAGTTAGTAAATTCTAAACCCGATTGCAAGTTAATTTATTCTTTTATATTAGTGTTTCAACCATAATTCTGTTGAGCCCATCGAAACTGATGAGATATTATTTGGAAAGTATATGATATTCAGACAGTTTAATATTTTAAAATTTGAAAATTACCTTTTTAAAATTATTTATTTCATTTTAAAACTTAAAAATTGTTAATTTTAATTTTTAGTAATATCAAATTGTTAAGGGTTTATTACAATTACCATAAATTTAATTACTTATACATTAAATATATCAACCACAGAAAAGGCAAATTTTTAATATATTTAATAGGTATAAAATATTTTTAATAAGTATCATATAATATGAATAATTCAATAATTTTACTTGTTAAATAAATGATGTGCCAATAATATATTAAAATTAAAGATGAATAAAACCGAATTTATGCAAACACAAATAATGATAGATAATCATTTTATGAAAACAAACCCATTTTATAATCGAAATTTTGAAATCTATTTAAACAATTGGAAAATTTGCAATTTCTGAGTTGAAAATTGTACTGATACGCTCCTTGACTTCAAAATTTCAGTAACTCGACATTAAAATACAATGCAGGTTACAAGTTATATAATTACTACACAGTATTGCTGCGATTTCAAAGTCACGACAATTTAATTGTTTTTTATATTTTAATATTGTGAAAATACAAATGTTATATAATAACAATAAAAATATTTCTTTTATTTTTAAGTATATAAACTTAAAAGGCATTTGCTTACAATAAAGTATCAAAAGTTTGACAATTTTCGATTATTAATGATTATTAAATCTAAATTTTTCTTCTTTAGATTTAGATTTTATGTATGTGCATACATAAATATTTAATTTATAAATTATTTCATTTTCTATGAGTTTTTAATAATTTCAAAAATTACTGTTTTGTATTTTGTATAAAATATTAAAGTGAAAATTTGCATGAATAAAAATGGTAAAAGAAGAACATTCAAATAGATATAAAAAAATCAATAGTTGTCTAAATAGTAATTGCTTTATAATTATTTAATTTTTTATAAAATTGATAAAAGCAAGATATTGAAAGTGATTTATTAGGTTGCGCTTAATGCCACAGTACAATTAAAAATAGAACAAAATAATGTAAAAAAAATCAATTTTCAAATAAATATAAAATATTACAAAAGGAAGAGGATACATAAATAAGTTCTCATAAAACAAATCAATTTTCCCAGAAAACTTAAATACAAAACTGTCATAATATGTGAATCTGAGGGCTATTTCTGAAATTCAAAAAAAATTTAAATCATAATTACAAGATTGTATTCTAAAAAATGCATAATTTATTATAAGGATTTAAATTACGAGGTTGTTTTTAAATATTGTAATTTGTTTGTACTATAATTATTTCATTAATACGGTATTAATACACAATATAGCTTATGAATTGCAAATACTAAATTGTATAGTAAGACAGTAGTGCTTAATAAAAACAATATGGAATACGTTTTATGTGCATTTTTGAAATTAAAAATTTATTGAGTGAAAAATTTCAGAATTAAATTTACTTTGATTAAATTACTTTTATTTGTCATTTTATTTCTATTTTTTTCTCATACCAAATCACTTTTAAAGTTAATTTTCAAATTATTATATATATATTATTATTTACATAACTATTATAAATATTATAATTAAGATTCTATTTTAACAAAGATTTCCTTAAAAAATGGAAAATTAAAATATGTATTTACAATGTGTATGTGCGATTATAATATTTGAACATTCAAATATTTTTTTTTTATAATTTATTTGTTTATTGGTAACACAATTCACTTTGATAAATTTAATAATAATTCAATAATTATGCATCAAGGTGAATTCAGTGTAATTACACGGAGCACAATTCAATAATCAGTGATTCTGATTATTGAATTATATATAGGGTAATTACACTACATTACTGCTATAGTATTTGTAATGATGTACAATGCAGTAATTTGTACAAAACTCATAAGCTTCATTTTTTTTTAATTATATTATTAATTACATTACAATTTTAAATTGAAATATCTATATTAATTGCATTTTTTTAGATTTCGAAAATTTTATTTCACAAACAATTTTCCAATTCATTAGCTGAATATTATATTTCAATACAATATTACTGCATTTTTGATATTAAAAGTCTGTATAATGGCATATATATCACACACAAATACAATTCTTAACTTAAAAAATGCAAATACCGATGCTAATACAATTTCAGCAAATGCAATTTATAAGCTGAATTGTGTTTTAATATAGAGTACTACTGCGTTATTTTGAAGTCAGGCAATGTTAAAAATATCATTTTTTTTTTGTTTTTAGTAAAAAATTTTGCTCTTTTGAAGCAAAAAATTGAATTAAAAAAATGAATAGAAATACATAATGAAAGCATAAAAAAAGCAAAGAAAATTAAAAAAAAACTCGTACACATTTTATAAAATTTATTGCATAATGTGTAATTAATATAAAATATTGTAAATATACACACACAATATACAAGAAGTAAAAACAAGAAAACAAAAATAAATATTAAAATTTAACATTAAAATTATAGTATAAAATAAATTCGTTACCTAGAGTGTAATTTGGAATAATTTATATATAAACTGAATAATAATTATTAAAAAAAAAACCAAGAAAATAATATAATTATTGATACTCATTTTTAAAAAAATTTGTAACACACACACACACATACAACAATATTAGTATTTGTATTATTATGTAACATAATTACATATTTTTAATAAATAAATAAAAATATTTTTTAACAATAAAAATAAAAATAGTGTATGCTGACGACACTAATATATATATATATATATAATATATAATACACATATATATATGTATTATATATTAATACGCATATACATATAAAAAAAAAAAATTAATTTTGATGTATATAAGAAAAAAAAAACCCTCCTATTTAAAAAAAAAAGCAAAACCTTCAACAAAAAACAAAAAAAATTGTTAATCTACAATATTATTATTGATTTAAAGAAATTTTTTAGCCGAAAATATGAATTTAATGTAATCATTATCAAATATATTTTTAACATTATTTTAATTTTATAATTCTACTTTTTGACTAATTAGAACACCGTGTGATATCAAAAATTGCAATAAAATTGTATTGACATATTGATTGTTTGCAATTTACAACTCATAAACTGAATTTTTTGTATTAATAACGTTATTGAAAGCTGTGATTTTGAAGTCGGTATACAATTTCTGACTTCCAAAATGCAGTAAAACGATATTAATACACAATTCACAGCTTATAAGTTTGATTCCTGGGATATTAAATTTACTAAAAAAAAAAAAAAAATTGAATGGAAAAATATTTTTGGTACGTTTAAGATTTACGCACGCCACGCACACAATATTATTCTCTTATATCAAAATAACAGTCATACGGTATTAATACGGTAAGATTCAACGTATGAGTTCTTATTACTGAATTATGCAGCAATATATTATTAATGCATTTTTAAACTTACTTATTTGGCCATATTCAGTTTTTTTTTTTCGATATTCTCGCATAATTTTATTATATGTATATTATTTTCTTTTTTTGTTTGTTTTAGATCACAATTACTTATTTAATAATACAAAGTTAATTTAATAACGTACATATAATTTTGTTTTAATATAAAAAAACAAATATATAAAATAAAATAATTTGTATTAGCGGACTTTTTTGTAGCCGAAAATTTTTTAAAAACTTATTAAAAAAAATCTGCCTTGTATTTGAAATCGAATATTTAAGTTCTGCTAGTATATGCTTATATCGTTCACTATATCAAATTCGTTGTATAATGTAAACACGCTACAAACTTTTCACGCTGCATAATTTAAGTATAAATAATAAATGTTAAGAGATTATTTAAAAGCATTTTAGCAATTTTTTTTCCAATCTGAAAACCAGGCATCTGTATAGCAATACAATATTTACGCTAATTATTTTATTATTTTATTTTTTGTTGCATTAGTTTTATGTTTGCCGTATTTTTATATTTAATTTTTTTCTCTTTTTTTTTGTTTAATATACATACCATATTATATATATAAAAAAAACAAGAAAAGTATGTTATTTAATCGTAAATTTTATATATTTAATTAAAATAATGAATAAACTCATATACATATTTATATTAAGCATAAAATAATAATAATGTTTTAAAAAATAACAAAAAAAAAATAGTAATAAAGAAACGACGTAAAAGAAAAATAAAAAAAAAAAATTAAAAATTATAGTCATACTGTATTAATATGCATTTCAGAAATTAAAATTCATAAACTGAATTGTGTATTAAAATCGTATTACTGCAATTTTGAAGTCGGGAATCATTATAAATTGCGCAGAACTATGAGAATCAATTTAATTAATATATATATATATATATATAAATGCATTATAATAATAAAATTAAAATAAACAAAAAAATGAAAGAAAGCATGATATACAAATTACAAAATATATATATATATATATATATATATATATATAACATTAACTTAGATTTACAATTTATAATATTTAAGAGGAATTTTAGAAATGAAAAAATTAAATGTATACAAAAAAATCTGGTTTTATTTTCAT